GGCTACACGGATCATCCCGGATCAAACCATTGTCCCGGACCGTCCCGGACCACCCCGGCAGTTTTTGACCGTCAAAAACATCCGGGGTCGACTCCCGGACCGCCCAGGACCATCCAGGACCATCCAGGACCACCCCGGTGCCAACACGTTGTCAACACGGACCGAATCCTGGATCACCCCGGATGGGGTCCGGGATATGGTCCGAGACGGTCCGGGACGTATATGGGACTGTAGCTAAAGCTTGAGAAAGTCCACAGGAGTGGACGAAAGCTTGCATAACAAATTTAAGGTTGGTAAAAGCTAAAAACTAGATGTTATCATTATCCCAAACTGATGAAAGTTTTCTGTATCAATAAGCACTAATATTGAGAGAAGGATGGAATTGTGCATTAATGCAATTGCTTTGTAAAAGTACATCTTTCCAATCTTGATAAGGTCAATGGCAACTCCTTTATCACTAGTATACGTTAATATTGCACTGGAAACCGTTAAATAGTCGTGAAGCCTATGATTTACATGTAATCTATCCCACGATACAGCCAAACCTGCTTTAGTGACCACCTGTCTACAAAGACCACATTTGTTATTACCCTTGAAATGGATTTTCATTGATACATGTACTAAAGAAACCTGGCCCCTCCCCTGGGAAAAAAAAAAACAGGTACAAACATGTTAATGTTACCTTTATTTGGTATCAGGAATACCTCCCCTGGTGTTCCATGGGGGGGGGGGGGGGGGGGGGGGCGATTTTCAAATTTTTTTAGGGCAAAAAAAAAAAGTGCTCGTTGAATGGTCGCTGTAGACAGGTTTGACTGTTTTACATCTTTGCCAGAAATCAACCTTCTCTTCCAATCATCCACACATGATTTGCTCTTGATGTTCAGGTTTCCAAAGTGTATTTAAGATATGACCTTCAAATATTACTTCTACACAAGCATACGCACTTGCCTGGAATAGGGCTTGCACAGAACCAAAGTCCAACTCGGGTTTTGTGCATGCCCTATACGTGGGGTTTACCTATAGAATGCCAGGTACATTTTCAAGGTATTTTAAGTTGATTTTATTCATTTTAGCTATACACACACAATTTTCCAGGTGACTTGTACACTTTAAGGAAGCAAGTATTCATTTCTTAATTACAAAAACAACGAGGTCTATTTTGCTCTGAGTATCAGTTTAGTAAGGGAGGTATAGTTTCACCTCTCTGGTTTAGTATACTAATTCCAAAAACAGTGTTCATTTATAATCATGAAATCCACTTTCTGTTTAACATTACAATATACAGTGTAGCTATACTTATCATATTCATAATCATAAAATCATTAAATGCTGTTATGGCACAATAAAATCATATCATTTGGAACATAAAACTTAAATAAATAACAATTACTTGATCAGTATTATACCTATTATAAGTCCCAGAGTCAAAACTGTTTCTCATAATGCCAAGTTTTAGTGAGTCATTCATTGTTTATTCATTAATCAACATAATAGTTTCTCAAATTAGAATCACGTCACATCAGAAGTTAAATATACAAACATATTTATTTTTTGTAATACAATATTTTGACACACTTGTTGCCTTTACACCAATTAATATCTGTTAATATATTATGGTAATACCTTCGCGTGTAAACATACTCTTTGAAATACAAGAACAGCAGTTGAATAATACAACCCTTGCCAATTTTTTTTCCCAAATTAATATATCTTAATATATTGATTGATAATTGATTCATTGATTTCTATATCATTTTTTTAGACATGAATATTCATGAGCGTCAATGTGATATTTTACATATGATCCATTTACATTTCATAGATTTGTCAATATAGCACATGACATTGTATAGAAATTAGAAAAGGCTTAATGCATATATGCTTCAGATAAACATGATCGAGAAGGGCCCTCAGTTAAACTAAAAACATATACCATGTAGGTTAAAGGGAAAGGGTGACTTGATACAAAAAGGGGAATAACGCTGATTTTCTAACTACAACATTAGTAACACCTGTCGATATAATAAGACACAGGTTTATGACATTAATATTATGGACAATTCTATCTGTAAAACTGTAATCTTAGAAATAAAACCGGCCCTACTTCAAAAGCACCGGCATTGCTTTTGATTGTTGGCAACATCAATTCTCTAAATACAGTTTGGTAAAAGTACAGCTCCTTCAAAAATTTAAAATCTCCTGATTTATAATGGTAAAAAGTAAAAACACATTATTCTAATAGAAAATACAGATTTTATTCCTCTTCCCCAAATAAATATCTCTTTGAATACATAAATAATGAAAATCTCTATCAACGCCCATATAAATACTCAATTAACCTGTTTCTAAGTTAACCCTGAAGGTGAAACATGAAACCCCTAAAGGCTCATTCTGATATCACTCAGCCTTACGTTTTTAAAGGATATAATACACTTCACATTTCTTTATCTTACAACACAGGGCTCTGCAAGCCTTTTTGTGTGCAGTGGTTCACCGCACCATATCTGAAAAAGCCTTAATTGACAACAAATTATCAATGGATTTTTTTTTTAAGGGGAGGGGGGGGAGGGGGAGGAGTTTGTTAGTGACGACTTTATCCATTTTGAATTTGGTTATAAATATGGAAAAAGTTTCCCAGGATATCATGATTTTTTTTTTTTACAGACTGAATACCACATTTTCAAGATGACAACCTTTTTTTTTCTATTCATTGGTATGTACAATAACTCGGCAAGAGCACAGGAGAAGGGGATCACATAAGATATACATCTTCAATATACAGTGAAAATGTATCAGCAAGCACCTGTATAAAAAGACCACCTGTCTATAAAGACCACATTTTGTTTGGTCCCTTTAAATTATGTATGTCATTGAAATGTGTACTAAAGGAACCTGAACTTAAAGCCAAACTGTCCTACTGGTAGCTACTTGCTCCCTCTATATAGAAAACTTCCCCAATCGGTGCCTGTTGGTACCCATGATCCTCTTTTTCTTATGTTGATTGATAACCACCCGTCAGTGATCTCACTGGGTGGTCTCATCCCTTCTGGCTGAACTACTACAGCCGGCCTTTAAAGACCACCTGCCTATAATAATAATAGTGGGTTCTTGTATAGCTCTCGTCTGTCAGACTTGACACTCCTGGCGCTCATAATTATTACCCTGGCTTTAGCATGGCTGCCATTACGGCGCTCTGGCATTTCAAGGAATTAATTTCTGCCAGGTACCCATTTACATCACCTGGGACCCGTCTTACAAAGAGTTACGATTGATCCAAATCGATCGCAAGTTTGCTGTCTCCTATCTCTGAAGTACATAGATGTGATTGATATCAGTCGCAAATAAGTAGCGATTGATATCAACTCTTTGTAAGACGGGGCTCTGGTGTGGCAAATGAAGATCAATGTCTTGCCAAAGGACATTAGTGCCACGGCAGGACTTGAACTGAGTGATCTAAAGTCCGGTGAGGTATCCACTCGACCACGACACCTTTAAATACAGTTTCGACTTTCGACTCCCTTGAGTGGTCTTTATAAACAGGTATCAGGAATTCCTGAGCAAATAGGCATCCAGCCAGGCACATTTTTTCTTTCTTTTTTTTCACAGCAAAATAACTTTTCTAATCTACAATAAAATATGGAACAATATCAATACTCATCATCTGTGATTAGGAATATTCAATCACACATTAACTGCTTTTTTGACACTATGGCCTGAATTCACAAAGGAGGTTTGTCAACAAACCTAGGTTTATGTGTGTCATACGATGCATTTCGAGGCACTTTTAGAAACCTTTACAAACCAAGGTTTATACAAACCAAGGTTTATAAAAACACGTCGAAACGCGTCATTTGATGCACATTAACCTACATATCTCGACAAACCTCCTTTGTGAATTTGGGCCTAAGAGCTTGTATATACCAAATACACGTATAAAGATTTTTGGCCACTGAGTGGTCGAAATTGCAGGCATGAAATTCGCTACCGACTACTAAAGCAACAAAAAACATTGACCTGGGGAGTGTTCCATCTAGACTAAGATCGACTTAAAGGTAAAGACCAGTTATGGTCATGCGATTGCATTGTGAAAGAAACGTTGTGGAATCGATCAGAAAAGGTTGATCATCTAGCATCTAGCATCTAGCATCTGCAAGGTTCTGGAATCATCCAAATGATAAGAAATTTGGCCCAGTCTTTGTAAAGTTACAAGCACTATACACAGAAAGATGTATATGGGACTACCCTATATCCCTCACAGACCATGAGAGAAACAAATTTACCAAATATATGAATTAGTAGGCGGTTTCCCGGCAAATTTTTTATCATCATGTATTATTTTAAAACATATTCTTTCACATGATTGGTAATGAGAGCTTCCATTTCATTTTTTGAAATTGGGGCGTTTCCAATACTGGTCTTTACCTTTAAGCTGGACTTGGACTATGGCAGGCCATTCATATAGCTAGTTCCTCTAACCAGGGACGTACAAAATCGTGGTCACAAATCTTCAGAACTTCCATTTTTGTATAGTTCATTATTGAAGGTTTGTTCTGTCTAATTTTAAACTTTTTAAGAGCATAACATTTCAAGTTTTAAATATAACTCAAGTTTGCAATGTAAGTAACGTTTTTCTTCAACAATTAACTATCCAAAAATGTAAATTCTGTTGATTTTTTATGTCCCTTGGGAGACCAATCGAGAGAGCAACCAGTGGCATAAATGGCCTGCCAATATACATGCATGTGAAGTTAAGAATGTATTTGTGCAGCGAGCTACATGTAAATGTTCATGCACATTTTGTCTTAGATGGGTAAATTTCTCTGATCTGTACAAATAAATACACTTTGACAGACATGTTTTGTTAAATATCTTTCTTTAGAACTTACACTTTATAGGAAACAGCATATAGACGGCTTAATTTGTGAGGGTCAGGATTAAAAACTAAAGCTCCATGGTGATCTTGAGACTGCACTGTATTTATCTCAGGACACAGGGCAATAGTTTTAATCATGCCCCTCAAAGCAGTCAATATTTTACATAACTACCCATACAGACAAGTGTTACAATGTTCAATACAGGATAATGATGAACATCAAGCTCAAATTCCAAAAGATTGCAAACGGACTTTGCACCCTCTTGCTCTCAGCTGCCATTTCGTAATGATGTCAGTGCAGAAAGAATACAACCGCCAGAAGGTTGCCAAATGCCGTGACAAGGAGTTACTTCCTTCTCACTCTCAGCTCAAATATTGTCATACGGTATTATGAAGATATAGCTCAACTGCTTGAAGGTTGCCAAATGCCTTGAAATGGACTTGTTTCCTTTTCGCTCTCAGCTCCAATATCGTGATGCGATATTTTACATGTAATTATGAAGAAATAGCTCAACTGCTTGAAATTTGTCAAATGCCTTGGACTTGGCACTTTCTTGCTCTCAGCTGCTATCCCGTAATAATCTTACTTGTAGAGAGAACTCAACTGCCAAAAGGTCGCAGTGTCAAATCAGCAGACTTAGCACATTCACCACCGTTTTTGCACTATTGAAGAATCCACATGCAGACTGTTATTGCAAATTTCTGCAGAATCTCACGCAAAATCATCATTACCAGCTATATACAACAAACGGTACAATTTCAGACAGCAAAGGATCGCCAAGACTTGCCTGAAATCAACCCTAGATCAATTTCAATACCCTAGTGTGATACCTTTAGAAGTAACGTTCAGATTATATAATACCGATAAGTCAATGTTATGTTTGGACATTTCAATAGGCCCAGCACAAGGGCATTGAAATCGCCGAAGGTAGATTTCCGTAGAGTCTTTGGTGATCCTGTTACAGCTGAAATGACCGGAATTCTGTTAAGCCCTTGACTCCTGAATTCTCATATTCTCCATAGGTTTAATACAGAAACCACCTGGGTCCAGTAGGCAAGGGGTTAATGAATGGCTGCAACTTCCGATCCGTTCTCCATCACGCCGTTGCCGTTGACGAAGCCAGACGACGTTGTTGCGAGCTTGGCTTTCTTGGAGGCGGGTTGACGCTCGGGGGCGTGGTTCCCGTTCTGGAGGACCTTCCCGTTGACGGAGTGGCCGTTCATGCAGAGCTCCGGCATGGCTGAGGGGTTGGTTAGCTTGTGCTCCAGGAGCATGTGGTTCTGTGGGGGAAGTCCCACGCAAGCTCTACAATGAAATAATGAAAACAAAAGTATTTTGATGAACTAATAATATCATTAATGTATATGATAAATTAAAGTGGTCCAAGAACCGATCCTTGAGGAACTCCAGTATTTACATCAATATAAACAATAACATGTCGCTTCCATACGATTGCAGGGCCCTCAGGGAAAGAAAGAAAGAGGTTAGTAGAAGAGTTTGCGTATGACAAATTTTCTGACTTTTTAAAAAATAAGGGAGTGGGTCGTAAGTTGCTATGTGCAGAAGGCCATAAGTGGCTGACACCAGACTTGGTGGAAATATCATTAATGTGTGTACACTGAAGATTGCACAAAGCAAACCCGTAGGCCTATCAAGAAATACCCCTTAGTCACTTGGAGAGTATCCGGGTGCAGGAGAGGGGGGGGGGGAATGGGTGAGATAATTAATTTACCATATGGGGGAACGGATGGGAAATACAAAGCATTACATAAGCCCTGTCTGTCACAAAGCTGATGAGTAATCCTGGAAATTGACAACACCTGTTATTGGGTAAACACCAGACGGTGTCAAACTCCCTATAGGCCTGTTTCATCAGCTTGTGTTTGCCAAATAACCCGCTATTTCCAGACCTCGGGATATTTTCAGACCTCTGGATATTATCCCAAGCTCGAAATTGGGTCTTTACCAGACCGATACGCTCATCACACACTAGCTCCGACGGGCGCAAATTAGCCCGCTTTTTCCTAAATAGTGGGATATTTTAGAAACAAGACACAAGATTTCAGGGTATTTTCCTGACGGAATATCCTGCTAATTGCAACTGCGGGCTGATGAGGACGCAAATTAACTGGCTAATTTGCGATCGGGATAGTTAAAATAGCCGGTTATTTGGCAAACTCATGCTGATGAAGACAGGCCTCATGAGAGCCCACTCCTATGATTTTGTTAAGTGACCCAAAAGTGCTTTGTTACCGCAAGGGAAAAAAAGCACTTTTGGATAGGATTGGATTGGAAATATAACTTGACCGCTAAAACTAATTATTTTGATGAAGAATGTGCAAGACTCCATGAAATTTAACTGGAGTAAAATGTTAGACCTTCCCTCATTTATTGCGATCTGCGTGAGAATTTTGGATGCGATCCCACATGCACATTTTACGTACTAAAATATGAAATCCTAGCAGCATTTTTTGCCAAACTGAGGTTGGTGTTTTCGTCGTCGCCTTGTTTTTCCCCTTCTTTTTGGAACACCTGTTCAAGAAAATTAATCTGGAATCCAGTTTTCAAACTGACTGCTAGTATACTCAAGCTTATTCAATTTGCAGCGTCACTAATGTCCTTTGGCAAGACAGATCTACATTTGACGCTCTCCATTCAGGTGTAAATGGGTACCTGATATGCTTGAGCGCTGGTTACTTTGGCAGCTCTACTATAACCAGGGTAATATGTGTAAAGCACCATGAGCGTCAGAACCTGACGGATACCGGCGCTATACAAATATCCATATAATTATTATTATTTTGCGGCATGACACTTTCGCAAACTCGACTACACATGAAATTCACCTGGGCGGAGAGCGGCAAATGTATGAAAATGCTCACCTGAAGATGTTTTCCATACACGCCCTCTGTTTGAATAGTGCGTTGACCAGCGGTGTGTTGTGAGGGACAAGGGGTGCTTTACATAGGTAGCTCAGGATTGAGAGTACACTGTGGAATCGTTGGTATTCACTCTGACACGCTGTGGTGATGGTAAAGACGGATGTAAACAAGAGTCAATTTAGTATCATCTCACACTTGCTAGCTTGATCAATCTCTCTCTATCTCTCTTTGTCTTTCTGTCCCCTTCTCTTTCTCTCTCACTTGAAGTCTCTCTTTGTCTTTCTTTTCTTTTCTTTCCCCATCTTTCTCTCTCTCTCTCTTTCATTGTATCACTTGATCTCTCTCTCTCTCTCACTTTATGCCTTTGTCTCTTTCTCTATCTCTCCCTTTGCCTCTCTGTGTTTCTCTTCATCCTTTTTCACCCTCCCTTTCTTTCTCTCTCTTTTGCCCTACAATCCTACCCTTCATCTCTTAAATATTAATAGGACAGCGTACCAGCTCCTAAAACACAAAATGCAGCAAAACATGGAGTACTTCTCAACTCTGTGAGTCATTAAACAAGTTCACAGAATATGCAGTTATCCACTGAATTATTCATACCCTGACCAAGTTGTGTCATTTTTAAAGTAAGTGTAACATTTCATTGTCCCGATTTATGTATGTTGAGAATGTGACATATTAAAGCTAAAGCCAGGGTAATAATAAATGCGCCTTGGAATACATTTTCGAGATAGATAGCGCTATAGAAATGCCTATTATCATCATCATCATCATCATCATCATTCAAAACTGTCTTACCAGACTTGAATTCGATCCTCTGACAGAGCTCCGTGAGGATGACCAGATCCAGGATGATAGGACTCGCCAAGAGAGAATCCTCACAGGTATTATGAAGCGAGATGGTGTTCCTTCCGCCCATCATGATCTCCGACGTGTATTCGTCTAGCGCCCTCTTGCTGTCCGCAACGTACGGGACATACTTGATGACAACGCAGTGGTCGGGCTTCTTGCCGTCAGGGTAGAGGATGGGGTTCGATTCCACCATGTCGTCAACAACGTTGGATTTGGAAATCTATTGGAAAGGACAGAGTTAATATGAGTTAGCATTTCGTTTCCTATTCGTTAAATCCTGTTTGCACTAGTTTGGCCAGGAGGGATTACACCACGCAGGGTGGGCACTGACAGGTGGCTATCTCATGAACTCAGCTCTCAATTAACATAGGAAAAAGAGGACCATGGGGGCAAAACAACGGGCACCGCTTACGCATTGTTTTCTATATAGAGGGAGCAAGTAGCTAAAGTAGTGCAGTGGGGCTTAACAACAAACATTTTTCAATGTGTACACAACTCATGAACAGGTCAAAATATTACTCCATACGTCGCTCAATCAATTTATAATAAGAATAATAACAACAGTATCTTTTTGTATACCACTGATGTCTGTCAGATTTGACACTGCTAGCACTCAACAATTACTACCCCGGCTGAGATTATGGTACTCTAGCATTTTAAGGAAGGAATTGATTCCTGCCAAGTACCCATTTACCTCATCTGGAGAGTGTTTCACAGAAACTAAGATCGACTTCAATTTATGCCACTGTTTGCTCTCACCATTTTGATCTTTAGATAATATTTTTTCCTTCAATTATAAAAAAAAATGTAGATTTGCGACCATGATTGTACGTCCCTTGAGAGACCAATGCAAGTAAATGGTGAGAACAAATAATAGCACGAACGGCCTGCTATAGTTTAGTCCAACTAAGGTTGATCTTAGTCTCTGTGAAACACCCCCCTGGTTCGAGTGCGGTAGAAGTAGATTAATATCTTGCCAAGGAATATTATTAAATTACCCTCGATCAGTCCAAAATAAGGAATGCAATTCTTAACTGCTGAACTCAAATGCTTTAAACTGCCAATGGCAATGGTAGGTTTCATAATATAATAATAATAATAATAATTCTACATTTATACCCACATTATACCTACATTTTACCTAAATTATACCTATATTATACCTACATTATACCTACATTTATTCTACGTTCATACCTCTTTTGATCTGAATTGCTTGGGAGCCGAGAGGTTCTTGCCATCGTTGTTCCCGAGGTGATTGTAACTGACGATCGAGACGGGCTTGATGCCTGCACTCACAAGGAAGTCAACCAGGACGGATTTAATCTTGGTCTGGCCCGACTTGAAGTCGTCACCGGCGATCATCACCCCTCTCCTCTCGGCCATCTCGATGACGCCCGGCACGAAGGTGTTCTGAGGTGAGCCGTTGATGTACGCTACCTGAGGAGTTTAGTGGAACAGGAAAGAATAAAATAATGTCAGAAAGTATTCAAAGACAACACCATCTCATGTAATGTCCTTTGTCAAGACATTGATCTACATTTGCCACACTCAACCCAGGTGAAGTACATGTAAATGGGTACCTGGAAGGAATTAATTCCTAGAAATGCTAGAGTGCCTGAATGGAGTGTCAAGTCTGACAGACATGAACGCTATACAAGAACCCACTAATATTATTATTATAAGATGGCTTACACTGACTTTGTTTGCATGTCATTAAAATAGAATACATAGAAATGCAGACTTTTAATATGATGCCAAGACCAAAACAAATACTAGATACAAGTACATGTTCATGAAAGTAATGTAATAATCATTATTCATTATGATTCCATTCAAGATGACAAACACAAGGTAACTATCGCTTTGGTAATTATTCTGAAATGCATAAATTCTCTAGTGATCTTATAGGTCTAGTTCGAAAATGTGATTGTATACGTCTAATCATTTTTATCCTGATTACATGCTACAACCTCGCACAACAAGAAGCATGAAAAAACAAATTCCTAACATGGATCACTAATACTGAGGGTTTTAAGACACATCTGAAGTCTAAAAAGGAAGTAAAATATTTTCTAGCAAAGAAGAAAAAGAAACTCCATTTTATACATCAAAAAAAGTGGAGAATTGATCTTTGAGTTAAATGTGTACTCTTCCAGTCTATGTAATGAATCTACAATGCTGCTTTATAGAGTTATGTAAATAGATGTCTTTTTTTTCTTCTCCTTTTTTCTTTTACTCTGTAATTGTTATATTATCAATAAAGACTTAAAGAAAAAAATATCCTGGAAAGGATCATCAATGTGTCCATTAGAAATCTATTCCTATAACTGAATAATCTTTTTACTGTTCACTCTCTTTCAACAAGCTATTAAAAGAGATAGAGACAAGAGTTTTTGTTTACAACTTTAAAAATAATGTGGTACAGCGAAAACTCAAAGAAGACAAAAAAAGCGGTCTTTATGTTGTCTGTTCAGAGAGAGAAGTGCGTTGACTCTGCTTCAGTTATATGAGCCCTTCTAGCTCCAAACAGACAACGGGGGGGGGGGGGGGGGGGGGGGGGGGTGTTTCACAAAGATCCTAAGTAGAACTTAACACTGAGTTGGACTTAAAAATTATGGACAGCCATTGGAGCCTTAAAATGAAATATATTCAAAAGCAGAAATTCAAGTATTTTAGACTTTTTATAAATTTTACATCCAGAACATGAAATGTCCTTGATGATAACAAAATATGAATGATTTGAATCAACATGTTATGCCTTTCAAAAATAACTTTTACAAAATATTTTCAAAGATGCTAATGGCTTTCCATAATTTTTAAGTCCAACTTAGAGATAAGTTCAACTTAGGATCTTTGTGAAACACCCCCCAGATTCCTTTGCTACAGGTTTCGATGCAAGAAATGTGTGTTGTATAGACAGGTGGTCTTTCTATACAGGTAATCGCTAAATCAGGTTTGACTGTAAGTGTATCTCACCCCTTCTAAGATGGAAGCCACAGCAAAGAGTGTGGATGGCGACACCTCGTTAGCATTGGTCTCTATCGACATCAAAAGGGCGTGCTCCGTCGTATTTAATCCCTCAGCAACATCTGAGAACCTTCAATTCAATTCAATTCAATTCGGTTTATTCAATTCCAGAATACAATCATGACAGAAGAAGAGTATAAATAAGGTTAAATGATAAAACAATAAGCGATGCACCACATAACAACACAAGATACAGCATTATTGGAATTGGGTGGCCATAAAAAACCGGCTCGGTGTAAAAATGTCAGAGGAAAAAATGTCAGAGGTAAAAATGTCAGAGGTAAAATGTCAGAGGTAAAAATGTCAGCGGTAAAAATGTCAGAGGAAAAAATGTCAGAGGTAAAATGTCAGAGGTAAAAATGTCAAGAGGTAAAAATGTCAGAGGAAAAAATGTCAGAGGTAAAAATGTCAGAGGAAAAAATGTCAGAGGTAAAAATGTCAGAGGTAAAAATGTCAAGAGGTAAAAATGTCAGAGGTAAAATGTCAGAGGTAGAAATGTCAGAGGTAAAAATGTCAGAGGAAAAAATGTCAGAGATAAAAATGTCAGAGGTAAAAATGTCAAGAGGTAAAAATGTCAGAGGAAAAAATGTCAGAGGTAAAAATGTCAGAGGAAAAAATGTCAGAGGTAAAAATGTCAGAGGAGTCCCATTAGTCTGCCTGCTCTGCCTAGGCATTGACCACTGTTCGGAAGGATATATAAAGCAAAGCATATATAAGAGGAAGGGGAGAGCAGCCGGGTCACCGTGCCCCAGAAGAAGAATACCCTCCTCCTCCCCCCCGTCTTCCTTCGGCAATAATCGGGCAAAAAGTCACAATTTTGGGCCAAAAGGTAAATAAATTTAAACTGGGAAAGTGGAAAATAAAGCAGCGGTGAAATAACGACTGCAGAATTTCCCTCTCTGTTCTTTTTTGATAAGCCTAATCAAATATATAACCCAGGTGTAATTATAACAAGCTTGTCACATGCTTTTGTTTTTATTGTTTACCTCTAACATTTATACCTCTGACATTTTTACCTCTGACATTTTTACCTCTCGACATTTCTACCTCTGACATTTTTTCCTCTGACATTTTTACCTCTGACATTTTTACCTGGCACCAAAAAACCATGAGGATTTGTTGAAATGACCACCCTTAATGAAGGTAAAATAAGTGTCATTGAACATGCAATATAATATAGAAAATTTAAAAGATAATAAGTACTATAACAATTACGAATATACGACATATTTTACTTTAAAAAATACATATTACCGCACAAACCCACCAACAGGACAATACAAGGTGGTGAAATCAACAATTCAAAATTTCAAACATTTGTGATTAAGTACGATTTGAGTTTTCTTTTAAAGGTATTCATCGAATTAAGTGACTTTACCTCTCTGTGTTGGCTGTCCAGAGTACAATGACCTTGTCTACCTTCTGCTTGAATTCACGTATATCCGCCCGGATCTTCTCGACGAGCTCTGACTTAGTTCCGGTGAGGACATTGTCGGCGCGATCCTCCTGATTGGCCGCGATGAAGTCGGGGAAGTAGACGGAGGGGCGGGGCTTGAGGGTTGCCATGTGGGGGCGGAGCTGCTCCTGGAGGCTCCAGTCAAAGACCTGGGCCCGCTCCATGGCCTCGGCAAGGTTGAAGGAAGAAATGTCCCAACCTGTTGAAAGAGAAAGAGAGAGAGAAAGATTTATTTAAATAAGCAGGTTCTTTTTACAAAGGAATATACTATGCATCTCGTGTGAATTTATGTACATTATGTGACGTATACACCCAAGTGTTTATCAGTTATCTTGTAATTACTTTGTATTTTGTTTATGTGCTGCCAGTGGAGGCCAAATTTCTATGTTTTGAATATGGATCAATAAAAGAATCTATCTATCTATCAGTTAACTTTGTATATCAACAGGCTTTTCACTTATACATGAACTACCACATTACATTGTGTTACCAAAAGCCCTGATTTGTGAAGACTTATTATATTCCTTGATCAAAACTTTTACTGTGTAAGATAAACAGATGGGGGAGAGGGAGAGGGGAAAATAGGGAGAGAGAGGAAGTGAGTGATGGAAGAAGGCATTATATCCCTTGTTCAAAATTGGTTTTTTACTGTGGCAAAGACAGAGAAAACAGAGAAAATTGCATGAGAGAGAGAGAGAGCTCAATTGTTTCCCTTTTTCAAAATTATGAATTATTGCAATGACAATGAAAGAGAGAGAGAGAGAGAGAGAGACATAGAGACAGAGATCTCTGAATCATAATCTGGGCTCTCCCCCCCCCCCCACCCCCAACAAAAAAACCAATAAAAAAATAAAACTTCAAGAGAAAAAAAATCTAAGACATTGAATGTCATCTTCATGCCACCAGATATAAGAAGACCTTATACAAACAGTGACTTCTTTTACTATTTACAACTCCCAAAATAAAGGTCAATACCTCTAGTCCTTAGCAAAGCCTGAAAAGGAATAATTTGCCACCACATTGTTTATTAAATGGCAATGGGGGGGGGGGGTCCCACTGGTAACATCCTGACACCCTGGTGAAAAAGAAAATAAGCATGCAGTACAAAAACTGTAAGTTACCCCACTTTCAGGACAGGATTTTTAAAGGCCAAAACATCTTCTTCAAATAATTGGTAACACTGATATTTTCTATTTTTCATATTGTTCTAATGAAATTTAATGTCTCTGAACAAAATGAAAACGGGGAAAACATTGTAAACGGGAAGAGACTCTGTTCACAAGTTTGGAAATGACCAATTTTGAATAGACTTTGAAAGCATTGCTTATTTAAGGATTTTTAAACATGATTTCCTGTTTAAGTTTCCTAGCATCAAATGAAATAATGGTTATGCAACAGAAAGAACACAGTGTGTCCTGACATCTTAACCTTTTCTACTCATGCAGCTGGTATATCTTTTAGAGTGTGGTCAAAAATTGATTGAGCAAAACCACAAAATGTGGAAAGATTGTCTCAAAAGGGCTATCTGATTGACAGTGCAATGTTATGAAAGTCACCTTCGTAGTACTGCCAGACGACAAACACAAATATTAGTTTGCCCTAATGCCATTAGGTATGTTTACAAACTCTTGTAGTATTTACATGTACACATTATCTATATTATTAAAGCCAGTACAGATTGTAAAGTGTGTATATCTTTCTACTGAGTAAACTTGTTTTTGATAACAGGTTTGTAAACATACATTTCCGGGTTCCTGTGTTGTTGTAAATCGTTGGCGTGATTCCCAAATTCAATGAACTTGTTATCCCTGTTTGGATACAGTTTTCAAATTATCTTTTTTTTTATCATGTTTTTATTGTTTTAGTTTTCACAAGGTTTTCACAATGACACATTTTCAGATTATCCTTTTTTAAAATAAATATTATCTTCATTTTCATCAGGTCATCAGCAATGAAAAAACTTATATTGAAGCAGGAAACATTGAAAAAAAAATTGAGAAAAAATTGAGATTCTCATATATTTCAAGTGAACTGAACTTTTCATTGGCGCAATTTAAATTTAAAGGGATAGTTGAGTTCTGTTTTCAGACCGTGAATGCTTCAAAGTGCATGGTTAGTCTTATTCTTATCTATGACATTTATAGTGCCCTTTTAGAACCTAACATTGCTATGAAGGTAATTTAGACCCCAAAATGTATGAAATTTAGCCAATACTGTCATACCAATTCAGCTCCACTTAAAAAAACAATACGGTGACCGTTAATTAATTATTCAATTAAAAGTAACAATACATGAGCCGGCTAATTGTGGGTGATATAAGCAAAACGAAAATGCCAACAAAAAAGCCAACATCGGCATTGGCTGAAATACAACGTAAAAGGCGTTATTTCGTTTTTTCTAACGTTTTTTCAAATTTGTCAAATATCTAATATTTGTGGTGGTATACAAGTATTAGAAATCGTTACATTTCAGCCGTCTCTAAACTGATTTTGATCAAACAAAGATGATTTTGTCATTTAAATATAACGTTCTTTCAAATTTGACACTCAGTTTTTCATCATCTCACAAAAAAAATGATTTTGTGTAGCGCCCTCTGCAACAGAACTCAACTATCCCTTTAAATATGATGTGAGCGCACAGTGCAGGCAGTGACAATACATGCGCATCTGAAAACATTGATGACACAATGTTTACTCGCAAAATAAAATGGTGGCCGTAACCGTGAAAGGGTGCATTCTTTTACGCTTTGAATTAGCCTAAAAGATACCCATGACTGACTTACCAATTTGAGATTAACTTGTACTTGTAGTGATCTCATATTTCAAAAATTCATAACTTTCTTAATATTGGTCCAAATTATTTCAAACTTTCACCACTCTGTTCATTTTATTTTTCTGCTTTCATATTTAAATTGTATGATTTTTTCACTTCATTTGAAAATTCCTTGGAATTATAATTCTCTTACGATTTGAATTGGCCTCAATGGTGTCCACAACTGACTTACCATCAAATACAATATCGTTGGGATCCACCATAGGTAGGATGTCTTTGAAAGGAATGTTAAGATCGCCAGCTGGTCCTGACCCAAGGTTTAGCGTCGATGCCTGAGTGAGGGAGCCGTAGTAGTCCGCATGCTGAAAAGAGAATTAAGAAGCGATAATGAGCACACATCATACCTTCAAACATTTGAAAATAAGAATTAGGAATTTCTAGCACAGTACAGTGTATGCCCTCAAAAATAACAGAAATCTGTACCCTTAACAGGCGTTTGCCAGACCATCATTTTTAAGGAGCGCGATCGCGCCGGCGCTCCTACAGCGCTCCTAAAAAATAATCAGGAGAGTTGTTTACAGCGCTCCTTGCAACGAAAAAAATACACGGTGGCGACGGGCGATTCGTCCCTTAAACCTCTGAAATCGCCACAGTAAAAATCAAGACGAGGGCGAAAAAAAAAATCGATATATAATGAAAAATCGCCCCCGCCATAAATTGATATTCCTTAGGAATTAGTAAATTAATTTATTGATGTGTCTGAGTGAAATCTCCATTCCAACTACCAACTCCAAAACTAGAAACTTCCATCAACATTTTAAAAGTTTTGAGGTTGAAGCGGATCGGCGGTCGTACCTAGATCTATGGAAGCAGGAGACCGTCAAAAACATGGATATACATCGTGTCGTAATTTGAATTGCCACACTACCTAAATAATTACGTCGTGTAGTAATTCGAATTGCCACACTACCTAAATAATTACGTCGTGTCGTAATTCGAATTGCTACACGACGTAATTCCGAATTACTGCCAAACGATTTAACGTCATGACGTTAAATGAATTAACTACACGACGTTAAATAATTAAGGTCGTGTAGCAATTCAAATTACTACACGACCTAAATAATTACGTAGTGTCGTAATTCGAATTACCACACGACCTAAATAATTACGTCGTGTTGTAATTAATTACTGCTCAACGATTTAACGTCGTGTAGTTAAATCATTTAACGTCGTTTAGTTAATTCATTTAACGTCGTGTAGTTAAATCAACCAATGAGACCTTTCGTAATATATGCGATGCGAAGACCGGCCACTACTATACTACACTACTTGTTTGATATTTTATTACAGCATTTTGAACCCACACACAATAATACAAGGTAAAAACATCAATTTTCAAATTGAGCTCCTCACTCTTTCCCGGAGAGTTATTTGAGGAGCTCAATTTGAGCTCCTTGGCAAAACAAGGAGTGGGATTAATAGAGCTCCACCAAATTCTAGAAATGAAGGTCTGGTTTGCACATGCAGTGGCACGCAGTAAATCTGTACAAAACAGCGAATACAAATTTGCTACTCGATCATGCAGCGATTCAATGCACACAATATGTGAACTCTCAAATCGCACCAACAACCAACTCCAAAGGGTTCCATGACACATGCTCCGCCAACGATAGCTCCGCCGACATTTACTCCGCAAAACACGACAATTGCTCCGCGACATTTGCTCCGCGACAGTTGCTCCGCCGACTGTTGCTCCGCCGACATTTGCTCCGCCGACAATTGCTCCGCCGACGATTGCTCCGCAAAACGCGACAATTGCTCCGGTGACAAATGCTCCTCGAACGACAGTTGCTCCGCCGACAATTGCTCCGCAAAACGCGACAATTGCTCCGGTGACATTTGCTCTGCCGACAATTGCTCAGCCGACATTTGTTCCGCCTGAAGCGACACTTGCTCCGGTGACACCGACAATTGCTCCGCCGACATTTGCTCTGCTAAAAAAGTGCCCCGTAAAATACAAAGGCTACTACGACAATAATTGTTGCTCCTCCCCAAAAGTACCCCGCAAAAGACAATGCTCCACCGACAATTAATTGCTCTCTGATCCAAAAGTGCGACCTCGTGGAAGACATGAATGCTCCTCTGGCAATTAGTGCAATAAATGCTCAGCCATTTTTTGCTATTCCCCATGATGTTTGATTTAAAAACATCAAGTTTTAGCTCCTTATGCAAGTTCTCCGGCGAAAGATAATTACTCCGCTCAAAATCTGTTTCATTTATTACTCATTAGCCGATCAAAAGCTCAAGGCTATCTCTCTCTCTCTCTCTCTTGCTCTTCCTTTTCCTTTTTACACCCTTTTCTTGTCTTCTTAGCTCTTTTCTTTCCTCTCATGCTATTAGTCTTCTTTCATTTTCATCACTTCTTCTTTTCTTCCCCTCTCAAGTTCTATTTCTCTCGTGAAATTGTAACGTAATGTAGTACATGTAGTACATTCTTGTTTAGAATAGTATTTTCAATAATATCCAGTCCGTTTTATAACGGTTTCTTTCCTTCAGTTAAGTGTATGTAGCTTTACTATATATATATATATATACTAGCAGGACCCGCGGAAATCCGCGGGATTCTAGAGGGGGGCGGGGGGTGTAAATAGATATATAGAGACTGTCTAAATTAAAACCACCAAGAACTTTATTTGCCATTCAGGCCATTAAAAAAAAATATACATGTTTAACGTCCCCGCCCGCTTCCTTTTTGGGGGCCGCCTCCAATTTTTTTTTTATTTGAAATTTGTTAAATTTTTTTTTTTTTTCGAAGAGGAAAAAAACAGCGTCCCTTCCGCTTCCTTTTTTGGGGGCCGCCTCCTATTTTTTTTTTTTTTTTGAATTTTTTTTGGTTTTTTTTTTGATTTTTTTTTGAAAGAAAACAAACGTGAAAAGCACTTCTAAAATTTATTTCTGATTTATAAAAAAAAAAAAAAAAAAATGTCGGCCGCCATCTTGAAAAATAGCCTGAATGTCAGGGAAAATGTACGGATCGAGCGGCCATTTTGAAAGAAAAAAAGAAAGAAAAAGGGCCTCCTCCTCCTTCCCATTTTTCAAAAAAACAGGACGCTAAACATGTTTTTTTTTAAATTTGGCCTTATATAAAAAATTAAAAAAACGATCCAACTGTACCGGTAGTTATTCTTTAAGCCACGTGGAACTGCGTAGAGTTTCGTAGTGGGGCGTACCGACTACGCAGAAATTAGGCTGCGTATTAATGGGAAAATAGTCCCTGCGTAGGTTATGCGTAAGCTGGCGTACAGGTTTGCTTATGGTTGCTTACTGTGTGGAAAGCTTTTACTGCTTTGTCGATCTGGCGTAGGGTAGCGTACTGTTGCGTAGGCATGTAGCGTAGTGTTGCGTAAATTAAGGCGTACTTTCTGCGTCAAGTTTCTACGCCAAAAGTACGCGAAAAAAATTAAACATGTTGAATTGTTTTCGTTCATCTTGCGTACCCCTTTCCGTCCCTCAGCATAACGTAGGCCAGCGTAGTTGGTACGCAACACTACGCAACTCTACGTATTGACCCCACGCCAATTAGTAACCCGCAAGTGTCACAAATAAAGTATTAAAAATATGCTCATCTGACCCTAATTTAACGCCTAAAACCCCCGAGCTTTCGGGGGTTTATGGCCCCTTAAACCTGTGGACCCCACGCCTATATACACTCAACCCGCTGCGATCTGACCCCCCCCCCCCCCCCCCCCCCACTTTGAAAAATGTTTCTTGGAGCCTTCATGTAACATGCAAGAATGGTGCATGGTGATGCCGATTTTTTTTCTGCACCCCTCCCCCCCCCCCCCAAAAAAAAAAAAAAAAAAAAAAATTTTACTCATTACGCAACTGATTGTTTTGCAATGCATGAAGTCACATGCTTCTGTCTGGTTGATATTGAACTATTAATATGCAAATGTACAATTCATAACCTTATTTAATGCTTTCTTGTAATTTACTGTAAAGATAAGAAACAAATTTTTGGCACTTCGGCCCGCACGCTGTCGTGTTGACGGGTTCTTCGATGGATGGATAGACGTACGTGTAGTTATATACATGTAGTTGTACGAATATTGGCCTGCTTGGCCCCCCAAACTCTTCGACTCTAGCGCAGCTCAGTCTTGGTCAAAGCGCCCCGGCCGCAGCACCGTGTATACTGTATGTGTTGACTGAAGTTACCTTGCGACTGAACTGTCAGTCCAATGGTTTTCTTGTGAAAACTTTCCTTTAGAAAATGATAATCAAAATTCAGTATAAATGGCCGTAATAATCACAAAATAAGCTTTGATTTCATACCTCCATTCACGAAAACTATATAAAAATCGCGGCAATCATGATGGAAATAGGTCTCTAAGTTTGGACGTCGACGGGAATTAGCCCCGTGTATCTCTCTGGCTTGTGCAGCGAGTACAAAGCACACCCTATAGTAAGATGGCTTACTCAGGGGTAATCCCACCCTTTGCATAGAGCATTTAATACGCAACTTAATGTGAGTGGATAGTCATCGGTCGTGTGTCTACGGATGTAATGTTGAATATCCATGAGGTATCTCTGTCGTCACGCATATCCTGCATTATGCATATCGCGTCTGTGTTCGCCCTGGACGTCGACACGGAGGAGGACCTCGGGCGGAGTATAGCCAATTCCACAGAGTAGACTCTCCCGCGGACGATGGCACCGGGCACGGGTACCCCGAGGGGAGGGTTCAGGAGGAGATAGCCGCACCAACTTCGGTCGGCGATCTCATTAAAAAACAATAGAATACAAAGGCTCGCGGAGACGTCGCGCCCCCCGCGGAGCCTTAGCGTATTACTTATATAGATTAGTGTGTAAAATCTTTTGAGCTAGTGCTATTCCGTGTGGCGTACACATGGCAATCACATGGTAGATAAAATTATGATCATCAGTACTGGGTCAAATAAATTAAAGAGAACTGAATTTGAACCCGGGCCATAGACTACCCCCTCTCGTTCTCTCTCCCTCTCTCTCCCTCTTCGTAGCCTTACTTTTCCCTCTCTTACCTCCCTGTGCATTTGTATGCCTCGATAATACGAAAAATAAACAATAAGATTCTTCCTCTTCCCCTCCTTCTTCCTAGTACATGTAGTAGGTGTAGTAATAGAAGCAGTATCACAATAATAATGACAACAATGATTATTATGGTTGGTGGTGTTACTAATGTTATTTTTGTAATTATTATGTTTGTTATTGTGATTATTATCCTTATCATGATTATTATGATGAATATGAACATGATGATTTTGATGACAATTAGTATAAGTATATAGTATTATTATAATTGTTATCATTTCATTATTATCAT